TGGCTGCCCCTTCCTTCGCCCTTCCGTGGCTGACACCCCCAAGCGCGTTGTCAAAAGCGTTGCGCCAGAGGCATCTCAGTGAAATCAAAGGCACCGGTTACATCGAGATAATATTTGTAAAATGTTCTAGCCTCGTGTGAAATAGAAACGCGCTAAGCTAAGCTAATGCAACCGCAAACACACTCAGCAGCGTTTTGTGATCAGTGCAAATGTAGTCAGACTTTTCTGCGGTGTTTTATAATTACCGTCTGTGTCGATCTTGATTATGGAAAGAAATCATTATGATAAGAAATTGAGAGTTGATTCCTGTAATGCCTAGGAACATACCCTATGAATAATTCCTAGTATATTGATTTCCTGTGGCATCCTTGTTTTAAAAGACGATCCAGAGCAACCTTTGGGTTAGGAGATCCCGTAGACGTGTTATGGCTTAAGGGCTCCCCGGCGAAGCCTTCCAAATGTCCACAGGCCGTCTCAAGCGAGCCGCGGCCTCTCCGTGAAAACGACGGGCAGGAGCTGCAACGGCCGGCCTTACTCGACTTCACGATTTAGATGGAAGGAGCTGTACACGAAGCACTAAAATAGACTTGCTCTTTTATTTTGCACGTTGATTTATTATTTGGGAGTTAGTTTGGGTTTTTAATTTTTTATGTGAGCCCTTTTAAGGCTCCAGAACAGGATACCGTTTTTAAATAAACATCTGAAAGGTCAGTGCATTTTTTTCCTTACTCAAAGCTCAGAACTTGGCTTTCTTTAATTTTGTAGTATTCCTCAATAGGTGTGTTTTACTTACAATGACAATTTACCCCAAACACAGCATTAAGGATCATTTTTAAAAAATAGTATTAACGTTCTGCATGGTGGTTTAAAAAACTGGCCGGTGCACGTCCTTAGGTTTCGTGCCTTGCTGGCTGTTGGGCTTTCTGGGTGAGCTTGGTCAGACCTCCAGAGAGAAGCACGGCAGGCAGGACAGATAGACTGTCTGAATCTGCATGACGGCGGCATGCAAGTAAACCGCGTGGTAGCTCCTTTGAGCAGCAGATCACTCCTGCAGCCAGGGTCCTGGTCTGCCTTTGCACTAAGAGCTTGCCCTGCCCTGCCCTGCCCTGCCCTGCCCT